AACCCTAAAAACCCTAAAAGCCCTAAACCCTCGTCCAAGGCATCTTGTGGCATTCTTGCGGCTGCTCTTCAGCAACCGCAGCAGAGGTCATCGCCGGAGCCTTGCAGTGTGCGTGTGGACCTTGTGGACCAACTGAACCCTGTTAGGGTTTAGGGTCTAGGGTCTAGGGTTTAGGGTTTAGGGTTTAGGGTTTAGGGTTTAGGCATATACCTAGATGAAACTTAACAGGGTCTATGGCCTAGATGAGTCTTTGTTTCTTGGTTTAGGGCTCAGGTTTTGTGGTTCACCTACCCCAATCGGGATGAGTCCGGATGATAGTAGTAGAGGGTATGTGATCCCAATCGTAGAGTTCATTTGGTCCGTCAGGAAGAGCGGCTCCAGCCCTAAACCCTACACCCTAAACCCCAAACTCTAAACCCTAAACCCTAAACCCTAAACCCTAAACCCTAAACCCTAAACCCTAAACCCTAAACCCTAAACCCTAAACCCTAAACCCTAAGCCCTAAACCCTAAACCCTAAACCCTAAACCCTAAACCCTACACGTGGCAGTTGGCTTGTGAAGCCGGACTTGGGTTCTGACTCCAGGTCGAGCTGCACCATGGAAGCAGCGCCTCTATCGGTTCCAAGGTGTCGGGAACATGTGGGGGGGTTATAGGGTTTAGGGTTTAGGGTTTAGGGTTTAGGGTTTAGGGTTACGAAAGTAAGGGACCCTTAATGTAGACCCCAAATAGTAGGATTCCCTAACATACGGATCCCAAGAAGGTACCCCGAATTTCGGAAACCCTAGAGGGGGGGGCACATGTGGGCCCTGAAATTGGTGCGACTCTCTGCTGCCCACCCCGCATCCCCTTCGCCTGCCTTGTGGCCCTAAACCCTAAACCCTAAACTATAAATCCTAAACCCTAAACCCTAAACCCTAAACCCTAAACCCTAAACCCTAAACCCTAAACCCTAAACCCTAAACCCTAAACCCTAAACCCTAAACCCTAAACCCTAAACCCTAAACCCTGAACCCTGAACCCTGAACCCTGAACCCTGAACCCTGAAGGCTGGGCGGAGGATACGTCGGCAAGGTTCCTGGGCGAAGAGCGACAGGTGCGCCAGCAACGTCTGGAGGATCTTGTTTCTGTTCGTTTAGGTTTTAGGGTTTAGGGTTTAGGGTTTAGGGTTTAGGGTTTAGGGTTTAGGGTTTAGGGTTTAGGGTTTAGGGTTTAGGGTTTAGGGTTTGGACCTGCAGATTGGGGATCACATACCCTATACGATGGTTCTGATTATAAGGTATATAAACCATAAACCCTTTTAGGGTTCATGTGGTTCTCAACGTTCGTTGTGTTTGTTTGGTGTAGGTTAATCGTCAACATGGAAATCCGCTGATCCAGGGTTCCAGGGGTGGGGGAGTCCCAGGACGGGTGTTGCAGGGGGTGTTTTAAGGGGGTTCCAGGAAAGGGGGGCGGGTCTCAAAAAGCTCAGCCGGCTGCATTTCTTGCATGTCTGGGTGCCCCCTCTGTAGGAGTCGCCGACGACCGTGGTTCGTTGCAAATGTGGGTGGGGGACAAAATCTTCGTCTACTTGTTCTAGGCGTCTTGGCCGATCCCTCCCCATTTCGCAGCACGAAAGAGCTGGTTTGCGGAGCTCAACAGGCATCATATCGTCTGCGACTGGCCCCATACTTGCAGCAAATCGGAGAAAGCTCAGTGGACGGCTCTAATTGTTGATCCTGCACCCCTGTTTGCATGGTCACGTATTCGGATTCGCGCTCGCGCAGCTACCTCTTCAAGCTTCAAGACAGTGCGTGACAATTTGTGTTGGGGAGAACCTACCCGGGGCATCGAGAACTGGTTGGTTTTTGTTGCCTGCTCAGCTTTGGAGCACTGTGCGTCACCTGGAACCATAGAGGGGACCCCATGTTGAAAATCGCCCTCATAGAAAAGCTAATTCTGTTGCATCCCGCGTGTTTCTGGGGAGAAGTCTACGTCTACATCCGTGGAGACCTCATCAACCCTTAAATTGGGGTCATTTACCTTCACTACTACAGTTCCGATTAAGATATTTGAACCATAAACCCTTTTGGGGTTCATGTAGTCCCCAATCATGTTGCGGGCATGTTTGTGAGGCGAGGCTGGCAGAGAGCCTGCGAAGCATGACCAAAACCATTCACGGCTCGCATCTTGGCTGACAGAGAGTTTATCTGCAGTCTTCTGTTTCGGGTTCAGGGGGCCTCCAGGGTCGTCTCAAATAAAAGATGCCTGTATTATGCTGCCTCACAGCACAAAAACATTGGAGAGTAAATCATGTGCAAACCATCCAAGAGCCCGTCGCTGCCCTTCTCGCCTGCATGATGCCATAATGAGGGTTTAGGGTTTAGGGTGTGGGGTTTAGGGTTTAGGGTTTGGGGTTGAGGTTTTAGGGTTTAGGGTTTAGGGTTTAGGGCTGCTACAACCAAGTAGCTTGGCGTTCGATTGTGCAGCTGACCTCCCTTCATCCGCCCTTCAGGCACTGATCGACAATTCGTTGGCTTGCGCCGGCATGTCGATTCACCCGTGAGACAGTGATGCCTCCACCCTAAACCCTAAAACCGCGAAAATGAGTCGTCCTTGCCATGGCGCAGCCGTTGCAACGCTTCAGGGCTGAAGAAATCCCCGGCCCGTTTCATGTTCTCGGACGCGAGGCCTATCTGCAGCCTCAATCCGAACAGGGCTCTCCCAACCAGCTATGCACACGAAGCATGTGCCACCTGTGTGGCACAAAGGTGTAGTGATACAGAGAGGACAGGCAGAGTGATGAGGGAAGACAGCATCGGAATCTCGTATCCCTAAACCCTAAACCCTAAACCCTAAAATGCCAACGCGGTTGGAGGCCCCTTTTCCAGGCGTGGAGCGTGCACCGCTTGTCAATGCCGCAGTTCTTACAGCGATGGTTGATCCTGAACATGTTTCACGGGTGTACTTGCATGGCTTTATATATATATATATATATATATACATTTATGTATAGACGTGCGACGTATGTCTTTTGATGTCTGTGACTTTGTGACCATCAGAGTTAAAGCTGCTTCAGTGGTTCAGCATCGGCAGCGAGCTTTGCTTGTGCTCTGGTGAGCTCACCCGCAGCCCAGAGCAGAACGAGCAGGACCTGTCCAAGCAGATGGAGACATATGGAGGAATGTATATACATATATATATATATATCTATATGTATGTATATCTGACTCGAAGAGCTCGAAATACGGAGCGGCCACAGCAGACGTTGCTGGAGTTGTTGTGGATGGGCAGGCCCTGCAACTGCGAACTTAGAAAGACCCGGTGATGAAGCTTCCTCAAGCGAAACGTGGGAAACCCTAAACCCTAAAACCTAAAAACCCTAAACCCTAAACAGCTTCTGGCGATATTGGGATCGCGCGATTCATCATCGCTCTTGTGGCACTTTGCATTCCGTAGGGCGGGGGAGGGCGCTCGAAGCGCCTCCCCCAAAGATGCGGAAACAATTCGACTCCGTGGGCCTCCTGCCCCTCTGGGCAATGGGAAGAAACCCTGGGTCCCTGCATCTCCCATATCTGAAAAAATCATAGGGGTTTGGGTTTTAGGGTTTAGGGTTTTCGGGTTTAGGGTTTTAGGGTTTAGGGTTTTAGGGTTTAGGGTTTTAGGGTTTAGGGTTTAGGGTTTTCAGGTTTGAGGGTTTTGGGTTTAGGGGTTGCACAGGGTGGGCCGGAGACCCGCTAGCCCTCAGTCGGTCAGCTTTCTGTCGCTCGGCACCAGGCGAAGCCAGTAGTAGCCTGGGCACTGTCGCAGGACTGGGACGCACTTGTGTTCTTTGCAAGAAGGTTTCAAGAGTGGAAGAACCAAGACGCGACAGACCACGTCCCCCTGCTGATCGTTCGAAAAAAACACGGCATACTTCCGCATCAGTGGGAGGAGCGCGTCGAGTCAAACGCATCAATGGTCCTAAACCCTAAACCCTAAACCCTAAACCCTAAACCCTAAACCCTAAACCCTAAACCCGAAGTAATGCTCCTCCGACGGGATGCGGCTCGCCCAGTGTCAGAGAAGGGTGGGTTCAGAGGAGTCTAAGACGCCCTCAAAAAGCGCTTTTGTGGGCATGGGCTGGGCATCCGGCAAAGCCGGTAACCGCTGCCCTTCGTCAGAGCTCCACCGATGCAGTCAGGGGGCAATGCCAGAGAGCATCCCATGGCTGTAATCGGGAAGAAGCGGCATGTGCCTTGTAGCCTCCGTTGAGCAGTGCAATTTGCATTCTTGAGTCGTGGACAAGCTTTAGAGTCTTTAGAGTATACTGGGTGAGTTCCTGGCCAAGCATGACGCTTCTGGCGGCTTTCAGCAGCCTCTTCGTGGCATCCCAGCGCCGGCGCCCCAGAATCATCCACTTGAAGGCTTGCCACTGTGGTATGGAGCTTGTAGAAACAGCAGCAGCAGCACTGGGCAAACCCTTGCCTGGACAACTTCGCAAGACACTGCCTATGCGCCGACTTCTCAACTCTCCCTATGAACAGGGTTCAGGGTTTAGGGTTTTGGGCTTACGGTGAACCTAATCTTCATGAAATTTCTCAAGGTCCCGCTGGAGGTGCTCTACGAGCGGTCGACCGGGCAAAACAGCCCCCGAACTGCCTGAGCGCTTGGGTTTTGGGTTTTGGGTTTTGGGTTTAGGGTCGTGTCTTCCCACCTGCAGCCCACGTCCAGGCTACGAGCGCTCAAGTTCCCAAACCCTCCGAGAGTGATTGCACAGCTACTGCCAAGCATAGCGCGAAGCATGGACGACCAGAAGACTCTGCGGGTAGTTCATGGCCCTCAATGTGGTCCCCCACTTTGTAGGGTTCTGATGAATGGGCCCTTAGTTGGCATAGGGTAGATGAGGGGTATATAAGGGGTATCCTTTTGAGGGCCCATACTAAGGGACCCTAATATCTAAACCCTAACCCCCAAACGCTAAACCCTGAACTCTAAACCCTAAACCCTCAACCCTAAACCCTAAACCTTGACTCCTTCAGGTGCCACGCCCGCCCATCATCGTGACGCCGCCGGAGGTACCAAATTCAGCCGCTGAATGCTCAGAGCCTGCAACAGGCGACGATGGTGGAAGTGGGCTTAGGGTTTAGGGTTTTGGGTTTTAGGTTTAAAGTTTAGGATTCAGGTTTATTCCCTAAACCCTAATCCCCAAATCGTAATGCGGTGTAGGGGCTATCGTGTGGAAGATTTTCTGCATGCTGGAGCGGTAGTCCCTTGGGAAGCCACCATGAGGTTCGAAACCTGGTGACCTGGGGCTTGCTGAGATCCCGGCATGCATTGAATGAAACTTTTGGGGGTGTAGGGTTTAGCGTTTAGCGTTTAGGGTTTAGGGTTTAGGGTTTAGGGTTTGGGGTTTAGGGTTTAGGGCTTAGGGCTTCGAGGGCACTGCTTGGCCCTGACATGTTCCTTGGAGTCATGCTGATTGAAAGTTGGCTGTTGAGTCTTACGATCATGCAAGGAGACTCCCGCGCCACCCCTAGGAATGGTTGACAGGTCGCGTGCGTTAACGTGCATGTTCCGCAAGTCTACAGAGTTGCCCTACCTCGCGCTGTTTTGTTGCGGCCCGCGACGCTGTTGGCTCCGAAGAAGTGTGATCATGTTGCGGTGTATAGCATTTGCTTGCTGGTTTGGAGGCATCGAACAAACGCGAAACACTTTAATCCACAGCGCACGCTTTCTGTAGCCCGAGGCCCACATGGGCACTTCCCAAAAGCAAATACCCCCACATGCAATAATCCTTACTTGTCATAGGAACACCCAACCCCTCGTGTCGGAAACCCCCACATCTCAAGCCAGCAAGGATCCAGCACATGCTCACATGCAGAGAAAGCGCGCACTGAGAAGGGATATGTTAGAGCAACCCTAGCCCTAAACCCTAAACCCCCCCCCCCAAGCCCTAAACCCTAAACACCTAAACCCATGCCAGGATTCTTTGGCTTCCGTTTCTGCCTGGTGCCAAGCTGTGAGGAGATGGTGTATTCTCTCCGGCACCCGGCTGCCCGAAAAATCAACCCCTAAACCCCTAAACCCCTAAACCCCTAAACCCCTAAACCCCTAGACCCCTAAACCCCTAAACCCCTAAACCCCTAAACCCCTAAACCCCTAAACCCCAAACCCTAAACCCCAAACCCTAAACCCTAAACCCTCCATGCCCAGGGTCCCCTTCCTCTTGTGGGCGCTGGTGGGCGACTGGCTGCTGGCCCTCGGGGGTCCGGAGGCCCTTGGAGCGGTACTTTTTTTGAAGGGTTTTTAGAGGGTTTTTGGGGTGTATGTAGTTTATGGGGTTTACAAGGGTTGATAGGGTTTTCAGGGCTTTCAGGTTCATTAGGTGTTTTGGGTTTTTTTTGTAGGGTTCAGGCTAATTGGGGTTCAGGGTTTAGAGGGTTGAGGTTCGGGGTTTACTGGTGCGTTGCTTCATCTGCGTATCCAGCCCAGACCCTAAACCCCAAACCCCAAACCTAAAACTCAAACCCCTAAACCCTAAACCCTAAAACCCCTAACCCTAAACCCTAAACCCTAAACCCTAAACCCTAAACCCCACAAACGGCTTCACGGGTCCAGGCCACTCGCAAGCTGGCAGAGGGCCTTCTGCGCCGCGCTGAGATCCCCGTGGCGTATCTTGGAGCCCAAACGAACCCTAAAAGGGCTTTGGGCTTGGGGCTTATAGGGTTTGGGGTCTAAGGTTTAGGGTTTAGGGTTTAGGGTTTAGTTAAGGGTTAGGGTATTAGGGTTTGGGGGTTGGGGTGTGGGGTTTGGGGTTTGGGGTTGGGATGTTCCCCATTGTACTAACAGCCCTGAATTGGGAACGCAATAGGGGGTCTAAACTCCCTTTTCAGGACTGTTAGTATAAGGGGGAACATCCCAAGCTTCTGGTGTCATATGGCCCTGCAAGGGAATACAGTAGTATAGGGTATATGACCCCCAAATTTAGGGCTCATTTGGTCCCCAAGGCGTGGCAGCATCGGAGGTTTCGCCCAAATAGGGGTGTCCATGTTGGGGTTCCTGGGATACCCCTGATATTTGGGAAATCCACCTTTTTTTGAACGAAGAGCAGGTCCCCACCCCCTCGCCCTTCATTGCACTTTGTCCACTGCATGTTCAGTAGCATTCGAAGGGGTTGGTTTTTGGGTTCCGTCTCTCAACTTGAGGCCGGGCGCCCTGACATACGGTGGGGCGGGGAGCTCGGGATCGTGCAGGCAATGCGTGTGTCATCGTTTGAGCTGGAGCTTCGGGCCTGGAAGGCAGACAACACTTGGTTAGTAGGGAATGAGGGAATGAGGTACCCTGAACCCCCCTATATAATCCTATATATATGTATATATACTTTATAAGGGATTATATACCCACCTCATTCCCCCATTCCCTACTAACCAACAGTAAGAAAAGTGCCTAAATGCGTTGCGTTGACAAGGTGTGGCAGGATGCGGAGAAGCCGCTCGCACGGACGTGTGGCGCTCGGCCTTCTTGCAAAGCTCCATTTTGTGCCCGACAAGCCCGAAGCCCAAAGCCTTATAAACCCTAACTAGATCCCAAACCAAGAGGGACAGGGCTTTCTTTTCCTTAGAGGGTGTTCAAAGCCCCGTTTTTCCATAGGATTCTTCAATTTCTTATATGAGTTCTGCAGAAGTTCAGAGGGTTCCCTAAACCCTAAACCCTAAACCCTAAACCCTAAACCCTAAACCCTAAACCCTAAACCCTTGGGGCCAAGGCCTTGGCCACTCCGGAGTGGCCTCGCACTGAACGCTGCCTCGACCCTGGGCTTCCTGCGGTCTCTGTGCGGCCAGAGCCCGGTGCCCGGATGGGTTTGCTACGGTTTGCTTAAGAGACCCTAAACCCTAAAACCTAAACCCTAAACCCTAAACCCTAAACCCTAAACCCTAAACCCTAAACCCTACGGTTTGCTTAAGAGCCCGCCAAAGAAGCAAGAGAATAATAATCCATATATTGCCCCTACAAGGAATTATTAATGTTTTTGGGGGGAAGCAAATAGTAGTTTAGGCTTCCGAGGCTTCAGTAGAGGCTTTGGGGTGTTTGAAGCTTTGAGAGTCAAGTGTACAGGGTGCTTTTGGTTTGATGGAGTTTAGGCTTTATAGGGTTTGTAGGCTTTGTTCAGGTCTCATATGGCTTGGGTTGGGCGTGCGGCGCCGAATTTGCTGGTTTTTGAGGTCGCAGGCGCTGGAAGGACGAGGCGAAGGACATCGACCCTCCGAGATTCTTCTGTCGTATGCCTTTTTCCGGATACGTCCCACAAAGGGGTCAGGGGTTTAGGGTTTAGGGGGGATAGGGTCAGTTTATATCCTCCCCAAACATTTTTCGGAAGCCCCCCATAAGTCCCTTGTGAGTGCTGGGTGATCTGTCCCGTATAGGAGCTCTCTCGCTACCGTGATGGCGCCATCTTGGCAGCTTGGCTGCAGTTGGCCCATGGTTGGTGTAGAGATCTCTCCGTGGGTCCCTAAACCCTAAACCCTAAACCTTAAACCCTAAACCCTAAACCCTAAACCCTAAACTCTGAACCCTAAACCCTAAACCCTAAACCCTAAACCCCTCGGGCTGAGGAGCGTTCCCAGCCAGTGAAATTCTCGCTGCTCCATGCAAAAGAGAACTCCAAGATGAGGTCAGATAGGTCTTTCGTATATTTACGACTAGTTATGGTTTGTCAATATTGGTGAGTGTGTTTTTTGGGGCGTATGGGCGTCCTGTTCGGAAACGCGCAAGAAACGCCCTAAATGACGGGAAGCCCCCCTTTGCGGAGCTCTCCCGCAATGGGCGAAGGCGTTTCGACTCGGGGGACAGAAAAAACCTCACTTCGGTAGCATTCTATGGAGCTTTCCTTAGAACGACTTACCCTATACTTCCAGGGCCTAAGAATTCGGATGTGAGAGCCTTAAAACCACGACAAATGTTGGTTTCCGGGGAAGTTCCGAGTCGATCTTCGTGTCTTTGACGAAACTGGTGCTCCAGGCGCGAATGCGTGGAGCCAGAGTTCTGCCACTGGACGATGCGCCCCAGGTTCCATCCTTACTGAGTACACTTGACACAGAGCTGCGGTTTAGGGTTTAGGGTGATTAGGGTTTAGGGTTTAGGGTTATTCGGGGTTAGGGTTTAGGGGTGCAGAATGCAAAAGATATCCAACCCCCCTCAGGACCCCAAGTACACTAGCCCTGCCCTCGCAACCCCGAATCCGCCTCATGCAGATTTGAGTTTAAGCCTGCCAATTGCTTTCTGGGTAGCCGTTCTTGCGGTGCAAAGTCTTTTTTTGGCAGACACGGGGGCATGCTGAGTGGTGAGCGTGTCAGTGAGGTTCGTGCTTTGGAGGACAAGGCCATGCACGGCACCTAATAACCTTAAAACTTCTAAACCTCGGTTTCTAGATAAGAGACGGGTTCGTCTCGGGGTTTAGGGTGTTGGGTTTAGGGTTTAGCGTTTGCCTTGGAGTTTGCAGGCAGCTTGTGCGAGTGTCCATGTTTGTGGAAACAACAAGGCGGGGGACAGGTTTCAGTCACAGGAGCACATCTCAGCCACATGATTTGCGTTGCTTTACGGCAACATGTCCGTTTGTGAGCTGCCTGAAGCCATCGTAAATTTGTGGAAGGGTCTGAGTTTAGGATTTAGGGTTTCGGGTTTGGTGTTTAGGGTTTAGGGTTTAACCCTAAACTCTAGTTTAACTTAATTTTCTCTGCGTGAGCACCCTCGGGAGACGGAGAGCCGCATGCGTAGGCAGCGACGAGCACCTCCTCACGACCACCTGTGGCAAGGCTGGCGAGCGCACGCAGCTGACTTTTGCACCAAACTTTGCTGGTTTAAGGTTGAAGGTTCTAATCCTAAAGCCCTAAGCCCCCGCAAACCGCTGAGGGTAGGGTCCACAAATGTCCATAAATCCTACGCGGAACTTCTGACCATACAAGCTCTTACAGAACTAGCTCCATGCAGGATGCCCGACGTCTGTTGCGTTTCTGTTGGTTAGCAGGGAATGCGGGGGTTAGGGCCCCACATATACCCCTTAAGGGAGTATAGGGTACCTCCTTCCCCCATTCCCTGCTAAGAAAACAGTAAGCTGCACATATACCCTTTAAGGGAGTATAAGGTAACTAGGTACCTCCTTCCCCCATTCCCTGCTAAGAAAACAGCAAGCTGCAGGTGGAGAAAGGCCGAGCCCGATCCACCGGCGACGCCCGCACCGGCGGGTGTTCCTGCGGCTCAGCCGAAACCAGGCCCGAACGCAGTGGTGCGAGATACATCCTCCGGCTTCTGCGGCGTGTAGGGTTTAGGGTTTAGGGTTTAGGGTTTAGGGTTTAGGGTTTGGGGTTTGGGGTTTAGGGTTTAGGGTTTAGGGTTTAGGGTTTAGGGTTTAGGGTTTAGGGTTTAGGGTTTGGGTTTAGGGTTTAGGGTTTAGGGTGCTTAGGTTCCTCTTGCCCAACGTATCTCGTTGCCCCTACGGCATGAGGCGATCTGAAACGAAGAATGGATCAATCGAGTGACTCATTCTCGACGCCCATGAGTCCTATACTCCAGAAACCCTATGACCTTCTAATCCCTACAACCGCTTAGAACCTATATACTCTATAAACTTTCTAAACCCTAAAACCCTAACATCCCACTTTTTTCACCCCCCCCCCTTTTACAAAAAAAGACCTATACAAACCTCCAACCTCTAAAAATCCCTATAATCCCTCAAAAGACCCGAATGCCCCTTTCGATGAAACCGCTCTGGCAGCTGCGATTGACAACCAGAAGCCTGCTCCACGTCAGGAGGCGGTCGTCGTTGCGGATGGTAGGGTTTGGGGTTTCGGATTTGGGGTTTAGGGTTTGGGGTTTACGGTTGAGGGTTCAGGGTTAGGGTTTGCAGGGCTTAGGACGATGGTATTGTATTCTTCTGGTTCATGTGGAACATATTTTCAGCGTATTTACCCAGAAATGCTATAGAAATCGTTGTTGCATTGGCCCCTAACCAAATCATAACCGACTATGTGCGTGCGGAAGGGCTTTGCACCTGCGCCTGCTTCTTATCCAGAATCGTGCTTGGTCCATTCCCTGCACAATTTTGGTTGGTATAGGCCCCGAACCCAAACCCCAAACCCCAAACCCCAAACCCCAAACCCCAAACCCCAAACCCCAAACCCCAAACCCCAAACCCCAAACCCCAAACCCCAAACCCCAAACCCTAAACCCTAAACCCTAAGCCCTAAGCCCTAGGCCCTAAGCCCTATAAACCCTAAACCCTAAACCGCAAACCGCAGAGCCTGGCCCAGCTCTCTGCAGGCCCTGCCTGCGCCGACAAATTACGAGCAGCCTCCCGCTCAGTTTAGGGTTTAGGGTTCAGGGTTTAGGGTTTAGTGTTTAGGGTTTAGGGTTTAGGGTTCAGGGTTCAGGGCTTAGGGTTTAGGGTTTAGGGTTAGGGTTCTTAAGGTGACACCTTGGGGACCACACGAACCCTGCTTTTGGGAACATATGCCCTATACTACTGCAACCCCGAGTAAGGTATGTGGACCAGGAACCCTTTTAGGTTTCATTCAGTCTTCAAGGAAGACAATCCGGCGTGCTTACATCAAGTCATATCAAGTCGAAGCGAGTCGACTCGAGCAGACCTGACCTTATCCTTAGATTCATCGGCAGCGGGGGGGGGGGGGGGGGGGTATATCCCTAAACCCGAATTACACCCCAAACCGAAATTTTGAGTGGTTCATCTGGTGCTCAGGGGTGAGTCCTTCGGATGGCCAAGGCCCCGCGATGAGATTGGAGCGCTTCTGAAGTGGGACGAGGCAACATCCCAAGTTGTCGGGTTTTAGGGTTCAGGGTTTAGGGTTTAGGGTTTATTTAGGGTATTTGGGGGAAACCTTAGAAGGGGCTTTCGCTGTGGTATGTGGGGAGTGCCCCTACTTCGTAGAATGCCCACATGTCTCACAGTAGTGTGATGCTTGCACAGGCCGCAGCACCAGATGACAGCCGAATCCCCCAACAATGCTCCATATGCCAGCTTTCCCCCATCGTGCAAACCACGGTCCTCCAATGCTTTTTGGGGATTGCTGTTTTGCTACTCGTGTGGTCTCCTCGGAAGATATCGTGTACAGATTTTGTTGATCTCAAACGCGAGGGAGTATTGCAAGTATCGTGTCTTAAGGTTCTAAGCTCTAAGGGGAGTACGGGCAAAGGTGCGTACATGAACCCTAAACCCTCAACCCTCAACCCTCAACCCTCAACCCTCAACCCTCAACCCTCAACCCTCAACCCTCAACCCTCAACCCTAAACCCTAAACCCTAAACCCTAAACCCTAAACCCTAAACCCTAAACCCTAAACCCTAAACCCTAAACCCTAACCCAAAGATCTGCAAATGTAGTTGGCGGATGCCCTTCAGGATCCAAAGGCAACTCGACAGGCGGGCCCTGCCTTCGTGGTCGCGAGCGAGTTCCTTAGGTTGGGGTTTAGGGTTTAGGGCTTAGGGCTTAGGGCTTAGGGCTTAGGGCTCAGGGCTTAGGGCTTAGGGCTTAGGGTTGAGGGTTTAGGGTTTAGGGTTTAGGGCCGTTTAGGGTTTAGGGTCTAGGGTTTAAGGTTGAGGGTTTAGGGTTAGGGATCGTTGGCCGGGAACGCCTTGGGGACCAAGTGAACCCAAAAACTGGTATCTTGTAACAACCCCTATGGTAGGGCTTCTGGATCATCAACACCTTTTAGCACTCATTTACTTCCCGTGGCATTTGGGCGGTTGTGACTGTAAGAGCGCTGCACGCACATTTGACTTGGCTCCAGTGCCTTCAAGCACGTTTGAAGATGTATAGAGAGGACACCCGGTAAAGGCAGATCCTTTGGTCAAGGCTTCCCAGCTCGTGAGGGCCGCAGCGAAAACCGATGAGTCTGACAAACTCTTTCACGCAGCCAGCCGGGCCATCCGCAGCCATGGCGTACGTGCCACTGGCATCGGCTCCACCAGCACAGCAGGCGCGGGCACGGGATCAGGTGTCCAACCCCTAAACCCTAAACGCCACACCCTACACCCTAAACACTAAACCCTAAACCCTAAACCCCGTAAACTCTAGCCCCTAAAATCCTTAGACCCTAAACCAACTTCAAACTTCCCTTCCTGGACCCGAAACACCCTACCCCCTAAACAGCCCCTAAGACCCCAAAGGCAAAATGGCAACGAAACCCCTAAATCCCCTAAAAAGGCCTGCAATGCCCGAAAATCAAAACCCATAAGGCAATATGGGGGTTTACGTTAGTATCGACCCCAAATGGTAGGATTCCCTTACAATAAGGACCCCAATAAGGTACCCCCCCCTAATTCCGGAAACCCCCAAATGGCAAGGAGGTTTTGCATTCCTAAACCCTAAACCCTAAACCCCTGAACCCTAAACCCTATACCCTGAACCCTAAAAATAAACCCGACAAAAATCTCGAACCCCCAAGGCGAAAAGGCAAGGGAGGTTTTACATCCAGCCTTGGCAGGTCATGGGCCACCCCGCCTTGGCGTCTCGCTTGCAAACAGCTTGGAAGGAGGGTTCGTGGTGGTGATGGGGGGGGGGTTTAGGGGTTTAGGGCTTTAGTGCTTTAGGGGCTTAGGGCTTTAGGGGTTTAGGGCTTTAGGGGTTTAGGGCTTTAGGGCTTTAGGGGTTAGGAGGGATATTCGGTTTTTTTCGGGGGTCCCTCTCCAAGCCCTTAAGGGGTTCCTTTGGGGAGGGGGGATCCCTACCTAAGCCCTGAAAGCCCGTGTTGCCCCCTTGGGCTCCCTCTTGCCCTAAACCCTCAACCCTAAACCCTTCTGCCAGTAAGTGGCCCAAACTCAGGCCCTGCTTGCGAGCGTCCCAGAGCTTCAGGCCATCAGAGAGCCCGGTGCTTGATGGTGATAGCGAACTAGGTGGTTACTAGTGTCTAGGGTTTGGGGTTTAGGGTGTGGGGTTCAGGGCTTAGGGTTTAGGGGCGATCAGAAGGAAAGTAGCCGAGTATTCGTATTTCATGTCACTCCAATTTTGAATTTTTTTTCCGGCTTTCACTGAGTTTAGGGTTGAGGGTTCAGGGTTTAGGGTTTACGGTTTAGGGAGGCCAGTGATCACATGCAGGTACGCGAGCGGGTCAGCTGGTTGCAGGAGGCGGGCGTGAGTGATTCGAGACGAGAACCCTAATTCTCAGACCCTAAACCCTAAATCACCAAGGCCCCTAAACTCTGAAATTCCCAAATCCATCACCCTAACCCCTAAACCCTAAACCCTGCACCTTAAACCTGATCGAAGGTGACAACCTTCCTAGGGGCCGAGATCGAAGCCCGGTTGCTGAAGCTGCAAAAGATGTCCTTGTGGAGGGGTTCGGGTTTAGGGTTTAGGGTTTAGGGATTAAGGTTTAGGGTTTAGGGTTTCGGGTTTAGGGTTAGGGCAAGTACGATGTGGAAATGACGCCCCACACACACAGGGGTGTTTGGGGTGTGGGGGGGAGGGGCATGAGACGCGAAGTCTATATTTCAATGCAGTCCGACAACTTTTATGCCGTGAGCTTCCACAGGCCACCATCCAAATGATTGCCTTTTAGGGTCCAGGGCTGCCGCCCTCAATTCCCACCGTCTTCCATCGAAGGCGCTGCAAATCCTCAACACACTTTACAACGTCAGAGTTCAGGGTGCATGCAGGGGGCCAGAAAGGGACTGCAAAGCCATGCAAGGCCAGACAGGGCTCCGGGTTAGGTTTGAGGGTTACGGTTTAGGGTTTAGGGCTTAGGGCTGAGGGCTTAGGGTTTAGGGTTTAGGGTTTCTTCTTGAAGAAGAAGAAGGGGGTAATGGCAGACCTTTCAAACATTTTCTAGCCAACAGCAGGGCCATTGAGCCCATTTCTAGGGCTTCATCCTGATTTCTGGCTACCGGGGCCGGGTGGGATGCAAGCTTCCCAAATATCAACCTTCAACCCCAAAACTCAAGCCCTATGACCCTCAACCCCTTAAGCCGAAAAGCCCTAAACCCTGTAGCGCCTACAGAAAGCCGACAAGCTTAAAACCTAACCAAATATCAGGGTAGCATTTCCAAGGAACCGATACTCCGTGGAGGATCGGCTTGGCAATCAGCTCTTCTACGCGATTGAAAGGCCTGTACTTGACTGCACGTCCACGCTTAGGGTTACTTTGGTTGATAGGGTTACTGAGTCCGTTTATCGTCTTTTGGGTAGTTACATGATCCCTAAAAAGGGCCCTTAAATGGGGAACCCTTCAAAACCCCCACATCTACCCTGCAAACTCCAAGCTTCAGAGCGCCTTGGAGAGGGTAAGGGACCATGTGGGGTTTAGGGAGTTTAGGCTTTTGTTTGCTTCTTGAGCTCACAAGCAGCAGGACCGACTGCCTCCGGCGGCAGCTGCAGCGATCTTGCTTACATGAATGAGCCCAAACTGCATCTAAGGGGGTTTAGGGTTTAGGGGTAGTTGCATGATCCCGTTAGGTTTCGGGTTTCGGGTTGAGGGGAAGATGCGTGGTGCCGGTTCTGAAGTATGGGCCCTTGGGTCTCACAGAGTATATACGGGGCATATAGGGGTTCCGCAATTAAGGGAGGTTCACGGGCCATGTAAACTACGCGGTAACTGACTACTTACTGGTTCCCATAGTTAGGAAGTTCGGGTCCTCTCACATTCTTGCAGAGGGAGGGCCTGAGCACAAGATACCTCATTCTGGGCTCTGAGGGCTTGCCTGTAGCGCTGTGGCTTTGAGTCTTTGGCATCCAGAGTTGACAAAGTCGTGTCGTTGCCGTTTGAGGTGCCAGCTGGGAGGTGGACGTTCTCCACACACCACCGGGGCAGTACATGCAGAGGCTGAAGCCGCAGCCATGTGGCGGTTTCCGAAATTGGGGGGGGGGGGGGGGGGGGGGGGGTACCTTATTGGGGTCCTGATTATAAGGTAACCCTACTATTTGGAGGTTTATATCCCAGCATTTTCGTAAACCCCCATGTCTATAGAGATATGCAGAGCCAGGGCGTGCCACTCGGGTAGTTAGAAGCATATGTGTGATGTTTGCGAGTTCATCCGCCCAGTTTCCTGACGATGCGGCGGCCGATGCAGTGCGTTTGCTGCTGTCTTGACCCCGGTGCTTCCAGTGCTTTGGGGACGAGGGAGCTGCGCTGAGGCGAAGATTCCGGCAGTCACCATTGGGAACCAGCGCAGCCTGAGAAACCCTCAGCGCTAAACTCTAAACTCTAAACCCCGAACCATGGGTTTAATTGAGAGTCTGCGCCTCTATGATCCGGAGTTGCTGAGGCTTTTGCCGACCCACCGCAGAGGCCCGGAGACTGGGAGAGGCGTTCATCAATAGCAGAATATGTGGGTTTAGGGTTTAGGGTTTGGGGGTTAGGGGTTAGGGTTTAGGGTTTAGGGTTAGGAGTCCGGTTGCGACAATACATGCCTGACAGCAGAAGTTGCATGCGCGCGAAGTCTGCAATGCAGGTCTTCGACGACGTGACGCAGCAGAAGCTAGGTTTCCCTGCTGAGATTGCATTGCACCCACCCCGAAAGCCCTAAGCCCCCTACACCCTAAACCCCCTGAGAGCCATAAGCCCCCAAGAGCCCCCCTAAAACCCCCAAGAGCCCCAACAGGCCCTCAGAACTTAAGCGGCTTAAGTTAAGCTCCTAAAGCAGCCCTAAACCCTAAACCCTCAACCCTAAACCCTAAACCCTAAACCCTAAACCCTAAACCCGAAGACACCCCTGGAAGAGAAGGGCGCAAAGTCGAGGCTCGTTCCGCGACCCGCTTCGGTGCTGCAACTACAACTTCAAGCTCCGAGATGCCTTCAATACGGAGGCTTTTAGGGGGGTTTGGGGTTTGGGGTTTAGGGTTTAGGGTTTAGGGTTTAGGGTTTAGGGTTTAGTCGTAACCACCCTTAACTAGTAGGCATGACCCATAAAACTGTAGGTGAAGAGGGTCCCGGGTAGGATATGGGTGGGTCTTGGGGATTCTCGGGGTTGGGGTTTTGAATTGGGGGTGGAGGGTTGTGAATTGGGGGGGTTTAGGATAGGTTTAGGGGCTTCGGCTTTTGAATTGGTTTGGGGCTTTCGGGGTTTTAGGGTTTTGGGGGGTTTTAGGCGTTCAGGGTCTACGGTTTTGGGTTTTAGGTTTGGGGTCTCAGGGGGGGCTACAAGGGTTCTGGGCCTTGAGGGCGTTGGGGCTTTGTGCATGGCACATTGTGGATGCTTCAAAGTTTCGAACCCCAAGCCCTAAACCCTGAGCTCTAAACCCTAAACCCTAAACCGCAGCTACGAAGCATCTTCGAACGTATCTAGCTGAATGCCATTCGCATTGGAGAATTCTAGGGTTCTTAAGGGAGGGGGGGTTCAAGGGGGGTATGTAACCCAAGCTTAAGCCCTAGACCCTAAACAGGATACCCCCTTGAACCCCCCCCCTCCCCCCCCTAAACCCTAAACCCTAAAGTACTAAACCCTAAACCCTAAACCCTAAACCCTAAACCCTAAGCCCTAAGCCCTAAGCCCTAAGCCCTAAGCCCTAAGCCCTAAGCCCTAAGCCCTAAGCCCTAAGCCCTAAGCCCTAAACCTTTCTTAAGAGCCCTAAACCTTTCTTAAGAACCCTATAGCTGGAGGTGCTGGAGGTGCACGGAGGTTGCTGCCAGCCCGCGGTGTGGCCCCTTTGCCTAATTTGCTTGTTCTTCTTTTGATGTGGCGCCATTTGGGGTTTAGGGTTTAGGGTTCAGGATTCAGGGTTTAGGTTTTAGGGTTTAGGGTTTGGGTCACTTGGGTTTAGGGTTTCGGGTATATGGATGCAGTATTCTATTGAATCAATGTTCTCGGAAGATTCAAAGCCCTGAGCCCTTAGCCCTAAGCACCCTTCGAGGTGTCCTCTCCCCTGCGGTCCTTGCTCCGAGCTCTCTTTCGACGTGCTCGATGCTCAAACAGGCAAGCTTGGGTGCCAGGGTGTAGGCTTTAGAGTTTAGGGCTGAGGGTTTAGGGTTTAGGGCTTAGGGCTTAGGGCTTAGGGTTGAGGGTTGAGGGTTTAGGGTTTAGGGCTGGAGCAGCCGGGCGTTCATGTAGTCAAAAAGTGTACTTCGGGTTTAGTTTTAAAGCGACGCGTAGCTCACCGAGGAAGACAAAAACAACCACCTCGGAATAATTACGAATAGTATGGCCCCTTTGTAAGTATAATAACCCCCAAAATCCTATTCTAGCTATTAAGGCCCCGATATTAACCCTGAAACCCTAAAACCCTTCAACACTGAACCCCAAAACCCTACCACCCGAAAACCCTCAACCCGAAAACCCTAAACCCTAAACCCTAAACCCTAAACCCTAAACCCTAAACCCTAAACCCTAAACCCTAAACCCTAAACCCTAAACCCTAAACCCTAAACCCTAAACCCTAAACCCGCGGAAAGTTCTCACAGGTGCACGAGTGGCCAGCATCCAGAAGCAAGTCCCCAGCTTGGCTGCTGGGCAAGTTTAGGGTTTAAACCCCAAACCCTAAACCCTAAACCCTAAACCCTAAACCCTAAATCCTAAACCCTAAACCCTAAACCCTAGCTTAGGGTTTAGGGTTTAGTGATTCTCTCCGAGAAGGTTCCAACACGAACCTCTATGGTCTCCTTGGGAGTTAGGTTGTATCCCTGTTTATACAAGATCCAAGGACATATCACGAGTAGCGTGAGCGATATGGCTCCAGGAGGGGGAGGGGGTAATGGGACTGTTTGGCTTTGTTTCGCTTGTTGGGCACTTCACTTCAAGATCTTGAGGCAGAACTTTACGACCCTAAGCCCTGAACCCTAAACCCTAAACCCCAAACCATACCCCAGCAGCTGCAGATGGTTGTGAGGCCGCAGCAACACGGGATGGGCTCCATTTCCTTGCAAGTACGCAGTCTAGATTTCTGGGTTCAAGGTCTTGAGTTTAGAGGGGCTCGCTAGAAGTTTAGCGTTTAAGTTTGGAGTTGCGGCGCAGAAAAAAAAGACAAGGCTGTGCCCCGGGAAGCCATGGGCATTTGGATGCATGTTTGGGTTTATTTCCCTGCTGGAGCAGTGGAAGGCAGTCGATCATAGTAGTCCATCTGTTTTCCGGGTAGAAAGCCTCCAGGGGTTCTTCTGCTCGGAAGAAATCTATACTACCCCCCCCCTAGTTCCCCCCTAAACCCTAAACCCTAAACCCCCTTTTAATCGCCTGAATAGGCCTTAATTATCCCTTAATAGCCTTAATCATGGGGGGAACCTAGTGGGGTTTGTCTAGACGGGGGTTAGTAGGAGAACCCATGAGCTCTGAAAAGCCCGAAACCCCAAACCCTAAGCCCTAAACCCTAAAGACTAACCCTAAAGCCTAAAGCCTAAAGCCTAAAGCCTAAAGCCTAAGGCTTCAGGCCTAAAGCCTAAAGCCTAAAGCCTAAAGCCTAAAGCCTAAAGCCTAAAGCCTAAAGCCTCGACCCTAGACCCTAGACCCTAAACCCTAAACCCTAAACCCTAAGCCAAGTTGACATGGATCTTTGCCTCGGATGTGGACAACTACAAGATCCAGTTCGAGCTTGTCCAGGACACTTTCGGGCCTCACACAGCAGGGAAGGATCCCTCCCGGATCCGGTTTTTTTAGGTGTTTATGTTGAGTTTAGGGTTTAGGGTTTAGGGTTTAGGTTTGTTGATTAGGGTCGCAGTTGTGTGTGCCGTGAGTTCGACAGCAGGATCCTGCCTGGAAAGCACTGCTGTTGTCCTTCACCATCTACATGGACTTTTTGCCACTTGGAAGCCACTGAATCAGCTAGCAATGTTATCCATCACCATCTTCACGACTTGCCTTGCAGAGGTTCTTCAACACGCCGCATCCTACCGTTGAGCAGGACATTTAGGGACTTTCCGAAAATAGGGGTACCCTTTTGGCGGTTCCCTTTTAAGGGGATTCGAGTCTATTTGGGGCATATACGGGGTACGCCCTTACTTTGGGAAGTACCCACCTGCCCTGTCTCCGGATGGCGGTGTTCACTCTAAACCCTAAACCCAAAACCCAAAACCCTAAACCCCAAACCCTAAACCCTAAACCCCAAACCCCAAAAAACCTAAACCGCTTGACAACTCGCTCCGCCAGGATGTGGGCTCCGCCGTGGTGGCGGATGCGTTCATGGACGCGTCGACTCCCGGTTGCTGCCTGGTATTAAGTCTATATCCCCCTTGGGAATTCTGTTTATAGAAAACCCAAGAGGATATTCAAAATAGTATGTTTTTTAGGGTTATAAGGGGAGTATAGAAGTTACAGTTCAGGCTTATAGGAAACAGAGTCCAGGGTGTATATAGCTCTTCTAGAATTTAGAGCGTCAAGCCCAGCAGGCACTCAAAGCGCCGCAGAGTTTTTCAGCACGGGCTTTCAGGTTTAAGGGTTCAGAGTCCAGGATTTGTATGCAGGCTTTAGGGCTCAGAGCCCTGGGCTTATTGTTTAGGGTGATGGTGAAGTGCGCACGGTTTAGGGTTTAGGGTTTAGGGTTTAGGGTTTAGGGTTTAGGGTTTAGGGTTTAGGGTTTAGGGTTTAGGGTTTAGGGTTTAGGGTTTAGGGTTTAGGGTTGAGCATGGGCGCATCGATGTTCCAGGCTGTGGCGGCTCAAGCTCCTGTTGCTGCGGCTGCTGCTGCTGAGCTGGCTTGGGAAATTTATATGGGGGTCTACGAACACAGGGGACCCCTAAAATGGACCCTCAAAGAGTACGATTCCCTTATGAAAGGACCCAAGAAGGTACCCCCCAAATTTCGTAAACCCCCACATTGCGCCCCTTCGTGCGACTGTATGGGCTCTAGGAGGCTGTGTAGAGACAATTATCAGTGAGTGCGAGGATCCCTTGACCTCGTGAACAGTCAGGGAAATAGCTTCATCCGGTCAGGTAAATCCACTTGGCCTTAGAAATTTGTTCTTAAGCTCATGTTGCCTTCTCGTTGCTGGGCAGAAAGTTCGCCCAAGCGCGGCCCAGACGCAAGTTTGGCCGGGGAAGGTTCAACTGAGACTCCCTGTGTGATGCGCAGACCTGGCAGAAGCGAATACATGATATGTGGGTGTTTCCAAAGAGCGAGGTGCTATACCCTTTTGTGGGTTCATTAACGAAGGATTGTAGTATCTGTTGAAGCATATTCGGGGTATCCATCTTGAGGCAAATGGACACATCTCCAGGTCTTGTCAGCACCGCGCAGGTTCATTTCTGACTCCTCTTGACCGCGCATGCCAACATAGCCTACATAGCCATGTGGGGAGGGTGCTTGGCATCGGGGCAATCAAACTTCTACACTCAACGAGTTAGGCATTCTGTTTGAAGACGGCCCCGCTCCCAAGTAGATCAGTTTCCACTTAGAACCCTAAGTTATCCCAAAGCTGCCCTACGCCCTAAAGCCTAGAATCTAGATTCGTCACGCGGATTACACAAGATAGCATCTTGTTGAAAGTCTGACACGGACCACATTGAAATGCATTGAAATCCCAACAGGGCTCACATGCTGGGAGCAGAATGGTGCAGTTTGGCGGGCTCTTCACTCCAGATCCTGAAATCTTCAGCCCTGAGCTTTAACCCGTGGATTCTGCATAGCTTTGCACAGCAATGAAACCTAAGCCCCTATCTTTAAACCCTAAACCCTAAACTTTCAACCCTAAACCCCTTAAACCCTGAAACCCTAAAGGACCTAAAACCCCTGTAAGCTGTAGAGCATGCTTTGTGTCGCTGATCGCAGGCTGCCATGGGCTTGACGGAGTCGGACTGGTCCGACCAGGCCATGCCACGCGCGGGAAGTTGCAGGGCGCTGGGGGGGGGGGGGGGGGGGGTATGTCGGCTCTGTTGGGTTTAGGGTGTACGGTTTAGGGTTTAAAGTTTAGGGTTTAGGGTTTAGGATGGCTACGTGCGATGTGGGTGAAATGCATGAAATCTGTGTCTGAGTCTCTGCGAATCTCTTTCGCACCATTCGCAGGTGCGGGGCCAGGTGAAGAGCACCGGCGTTCAGCGGTCAAACGTGGGAATCTCAAACGCCCTCCCACCCCCACCCTCCTTCTTGCACCCACGCTTCAGGCCCTGCGCGTGTTAAAGGCACGCTCGAAGCCAAAGTCTGCTTGTGAAATGGATGCTTGAAGATGTGTCATGGTTATGTCGGAGATGAGTATTTTATTTATTGTAAAAGAAAGGACCTGATGCTTATCATGAATGCTTTGTTGACTATGAATGTCGTGACTCTTGGGATCAAAACTACAATATGACTATCCTGGCATTTTTTGAATTTTTTATGACGATTTTGCTCTGGGATTCTGACTATGATGGCCACTGGGACCTCTGATTCTAATGACAAATCTAACGGTGACGCTTATGGCAACTAACGATGACCATGATGAAAACTTCACCCTAAACCCTAAACCCTAAACCCTAAACCCTAAACCCTAAACCCTAAACCCTAAACCCTAAACCCTAAACCCTATAAACCCTCAAAGTCCATGCCCAGGCCCTGCCAGAGGGTTGGATTGCACAGTCGGCAGCGGCTTACGGAGGCGCGTTTGTTGTGGTTCTCTCTTCAAGGAGTCCACTGGGGTGGGGGGGGGGGGGGGGGGGGGGGGGGGTGGAATACATGTTGTTATCATATACTCATATACACACACACACACACATATTATAATGTAAAATATATATATATATATACAAATATGTATATATACATATACATGCACACATATTTTCATTATAGTATACAAAATGATTTAAACCATAAGAATTGCAACGGTATATTGTTGGTTCTACAATATTCTGACTAAATCAGCATAAGGCCAGAATTCAGCGCAGCCATCGAGGTCAAATGTACTACGTGAACCTCCTGAACGGAAAGTCTGCCTGGGAAGTGTATGGAGCCCAGCTTTGCCATCAAGCCTTTGGAGGGTTTAGGGTTTAGGGTTTAGGGTTTAGGGTTGTGTGCCGTGGCATAGTTTTGCATCCAGCCGATGCCAAATAATCCATCAGACCCCCCTGCTAAACCGTATAACCCTAAACCCTAAACCCCAAACCCTAAACCCTAAACCCTAAACCCTAAACCCTGAACCCTGAACCCTGAACCCTGTAGGGCAGGGCCTGGGGTCCCAGGGCCAAGTCACGCTGCAAAGGCCGACGCAACCTGCTGTGAAGGTCCTTTCCACGCAGGACGAAGTGGTTTTGAGAGATTAGTTTTTCAGAGATGCATACTTTAAAATTGAAACAGTCTTGAGAGATGCCTAATTTAAGTATACAACGATAGTTTGAGGTAGTAGAATGCATCAATAGGATATGACATGTAGGTATATCAGTATAGAGGCAGAGGTAGAAACACATTGCGGTGTTGATCTTATCTTATTATTTTGATATCGTATTGCACAGTACTGGCATAATATCGTACACTTTTCAGTGTGATCTAGTCTAGTATATTGGAATGTAGCAGACTAGAGTAGCTTAGTACTAGATAGTATGTGATAGTATCTTCTGCATGATAGAGTGCAATCTTACATATTCTACATTCTAATCCTTTCATAGTTTCTTACAGATGAAATTGAATCCATAAACCCTAAACCCTAAACCCTAAACCCTAAACCCTAAACCCTAAACCCATTTAATATAAACAGGAGATTCGGGAGCTCTTGGGCCCTGCGTCTGATGGTGTGGCCCTTCGCCGCCAGTTGGAGGAGTGCGGCTGCTGCGAGTCTAGGGTTGCCGCCTTTTAGGGTTTAGGGTTTAGGGTTTAGGGTTTAGGGTTTAGGGTTTAGGGTTTAGGGTTCAGGGTTCAGGGTTCAGGTTTCAGGGTTTAGGGTTTAGGGTTTGGGGAACTCAGAAACTACTTTTTCGCTTGCGAAAAGCCCCCTTACAGGATTTTTAGGGATCAAATAGGTTGTTGGTGAATCTTGGCAATGGCCTACAAACCCTTGAGGGGTTCTAAACGTCCAATACCTCTATACTACAGACCACGCAAAAGAGGTCTGTATTCCGTCGTGGTGCAATGCACATGAGCATTCAGGTTGGCCAGGCTGCCAGGATAGCGGAGCGGCTTTCATTTCGCAATGAACGGTCGGACACACTACATTGACGTGGACTCATGAATTTCAGGCATGGTGAATTGTACAGAAGGCTGCAGGTTTCCCCTTCTTTTCTAAACACTACATATTGACTTGACAGTGGGATGGAGCCGAGAGAGTGTGGGGTCATTTCGGAGTTTGGCGACAGCTTGCCCTAAGCCCGAAGCCCTCAACCCTAAGTGTCATGTGCTATTCGCGAGCCACGCGATGTTCCGGACCCAAACTCCGACTTCCAAGAGGGTTTAGGGTTCAGGGTTCAGGGTTCAGGGATGATATTGGATATTTTGTCCTCATCCAGCGGCTGTCGTCCACCTGACGCCACAAGCGGGATTCATGAACCTCAACGATCCTGCCCGTCCCCCTAAACCCTAAACCCTAAACACAGATACGCACCAGCCACGAACGACTCGGCGCCACTTTCTACGCATCTATTCTGCCTTCTGAGAACGCAGCCTGTGTTCTCAAGGCCATCGTTCCGTGTGTGCCTGGGTTGCAAGGAACTGTAATCAAGTTACAGTACCATACCGTGGACTCTGCACTCTTTAAGTCCAGGCATCCCGGACGATGGTCTGCAAACCGTCGCAGTGTCGGCCACCTTCACATGTCGTCGAGTCCGAAATTCGTCCAAGACGCTCGGCTCACCCGTCCTCTGTCACCTCAAGCGTGTCACAAGCTTGTTCCGCCAGATTTTGGTCACCGATTCTGAGCAAGGTTACCGCAACCTGTTATGCTGCATATGGATCATATGGACATTGAGAGTTTTGGTGGACAGTTCTGGTGCCGTGTCCAGCTGTGTTCTGTTTAGGGCTTAGGGTTTTAGGGGGCAAGATGTGCCAAGTCCTTCGAGCAAGCCTTTTCGCCGCAGATGTTTGGCTAGAAGCGTTTGCACTTGAGCCTTACCAGCCTCTTACATCGTCTCATGAGCGCAACTTCGTGCACCACATGCTCGCACACAAAAGAAGCGAACATGTCATCATGCATCATGTGTTGCTGCAATGTTAGTATAACTAGTATGCACTATATGATTGTATGATGCTATGACAATAGCATCCCTGTATACGAAAACATCCAGCGTTCCTGGCGTCTCTAGGTTAACCCTGCACCCTACAAAACCCTATCAGCCGCCTGCACCCTTTAAACTGTAAACCCCATAAGCCCCATCAACAGCCTATGAACCCTGTAAAGCCCTTAAGGCCCCTTGTAACTGAGAAGCCCGAAGCCCTAGGCCCTAAACCCTACAAAACCCTAAACCTCTAGCTAGCAACCCCGAAGCCCTGAACAAACCCTAAACCCTAAACCCTAAACCCTAAACCCTAAACCCTAAACCCTAAACCCTAAACCCTAAACCCTAAACCCTAAACCCTGAACCCAAGAGGCGGATCCCGCGTTTCTTTCGTTCTCTCATTTTTCCCCTTGCCGGCATGGCGCCGATTCTGAGCACCGGGCCCGTTGCCAGGCGCAGGGAGCTGCGCCCCGGATTCCGCAAAACCAAAGGGAACACCCACGAGTTTAGGGTTTAGGGTTTAGGGTTTAGGGTTTAGGGTTTAGGGTTTAGGGTTTAGGGTTTAGCGTTTAGGGTTTAGGCTTCATATGCGCCCGCCCCCAGGTGAAATCCCCAAACCCTAACCTTAAACCCCTCCAAGTGCGGGTGGGGGGCGGGGGAGAGGAGGCGAGCGTGAATGCTGGTGCATATCTAGGTAGGCCCTTGGGACATTTTATATTTTCCCTTATTGGGTTTAAGAGGGCCATATTCAGGAATATTTTTCAGGGGGTTTTAGGGGCCATCCTAGATATAGGGTGTTAGGGAGTTGCTTCCTCCAGCCCAGGGTTGAGGGTAGTGGGTAGCCCTAAGTTCTAAGACTCCTTCAAGGCCTTACACTTCTCTTGATATCAACTCCTATATATAAGCCCCTATATAGTAGCCCTTGTAAACCCCGTAGTCTCCAACGGATAAGAGAGTTCTGCGTGCACGCGACACATGTCGAAGGCGCGGAGTATAGGCCCTTAGTTGCTGCATTTGCCCTTAAATACACTGTACATAATAAGGGCCCATACTTCGGATCCCTCTAAACAAGGACAAGGGACCATACTAGGAGCCCATGGTTGACAAAGCCCTAAACCCCTTAACCCTGAACCCCTACGTACCCTAAACCCCTCAACCCCTCAACCCTAAACTCCTAAACCCCTCAACCCTAAACCTCTAAACCAAAACCCCTAAACCCTATGTAACCCTAAACACCTAAACCCTAAACCCTAAACCCTAAACCCTAAACACCTAAACCCCTAAACCCCTGAACCCCAAAACCCCTAAGCCCTTAGAACATGAGGCACCCGAAGCCCATCTTTGACGAACCCTCGCTGCGCGCCTTCCTGACGGGCCACGGCATCAAGACGGTGCCTGGGTTAGGGTTTAGGGTCTAGGGTCTAGGGTTTAGGGTTTAGGGTTTAGGGTTTAGGGTTTAGGGTTTAGGGTTTAGGGTTTAGGGTTTAGGGTTTAGGGTTTAGAGGGCAGGGTTCAGGGTTCAGGGCTTAGGGCCTTTGAGGTTCAGGGCTTGCATAGTTAGGGTTTGTTTCGGAGCCTGTGGCCATGTGGAGTCGGAAGAGTCGAACCGCACCCTAAAAACCCAAAACCCTACCAGGGATCCCCTTTGCCTGCAGTTTTGTGTGGGTTCGACCTACAGATTAAGGGTGGCTACGACTAAACTGTAGGTAGATAGAGTCCCACGCAAACCTTGTGCCCTCCTGAAACCCTACATCGCAGACCCAGAGCCCCCCTTGCTGCCATGCCATCGTCTGCTTTTCTTGAGGTGCATATGGCACGGATCTGGAAGCTGCTTTGGCTGGATTAGCTTGGCTTACCACCTACTTGGGGTATTTCGGGCTTGGGGCTTAGGGTTTTAGGGTTTCGGGTTTTGTGTTGAGGGTTTTCCCGGGACTCCATTATCCTACAGTTTAGTGGCAACTACCCTTTAATTCATAGGCATAACCCATAAAACTGCAGGTGAAGAGGCTCAAGGATTTAAGGGTTTCGGGCAGCTCTTTCACAGGCACGTTCTGGCGCAACCGCCCCATGCCGCCAACGCTGCCTGGCCTCGCCTAGACGAGGCCCCCTCCTTTGTGGGTGCTTGTGGCTTTGGCTCTCCTGGGCCTCCCTTATTTATTGGGACTAAGTGAAACCCCAACAGTGTTAAGGGTTCATACACCTTAATAGGAATTGTACTTATGCTGTAGTAGTCCTAAACCCTAAACCCTAAACCCTAAACCCTAAACCCTAAACCCTAAACCCTAAACCTAGTCAGGGGAAATGACCCCCAACTTTAGGGTTTCCTTGATGAGCAACGCAACTCCACAGACCTCCATCGACGTGGCAGCGAGGTGCCTGGCCTTCCGCAGCGTATCCGCATGGCCCTGGCGGAGGAGTTCACGGTGCGCTGGGGGTTTAGGGTTGAGGGTTTAGGGTTTAGGGTTTAGGGCCCTAAACCCTAAACCCCAAACCCTTACCTGGTACCTGCGACCCTCTTTACCTACAGCTTTAGGGGTTATACCTACTAATTAAGAGTAGTGGCTACTATTCTGTAGGTACAAATACCCCAAACCCCTAAACCGCCCGGCTGTTGCAAGCTGTGCTGTCCCTAAACCCTAAACCCTAAACCCTAAACCCTAAACCCTAAACCCTAAACCCTAAACTCAGGTGGTGACCTCGAAGGTGATCCGAACGAGTGTCTCGGAGGTCGATGGCACCATGAAGCTGCTGATCCAGCTTCAGGACAGGGGTTTGAGGGTGTGTTTGGGGTGGTATGGGGTACATGAGGGTATAGGAGGTCATAAAAAACGTATACAGGGCATATTATTTTTTTTTAGAAATAAATAGGTTATATGAGGTTTAAGGTTTGAAGGATCGCGAAGCTCGAATCTCCCCGCAAGACCCTGGCTTCGATTTCTCGATGTGGTGGTGTACGAACATAGGGGACCCCTACAGAAGACCCCGGAATAGTAGGATTTCCCTTCAAATAAGGACCCAACAAGGTACCCTAAACCCTAAACCCTAAACCCTAAACCCTAAACCCTAAACCCTAAACCCTAAACCCTAAACCTAAACCCTAAACCCTAAACCCTGAACCCCCTCAAAACACCCCCATGTCGGTGCCATGCTCCGAGTTCTGCAGAGGACGGGAACGAAGTCGAGGCCGTGGTCATCCACCACACGGGTGAGGCCCCTTGATAGTATTGTGGGGTTTAGGGTTTAGGGTTTAGGGTTTAGGGTTTAGGGTTTAGGGTTTAGGGTTTACTGTTTAGGGTTTAACCCTTAGGCCTTTGGGCCCAAAAACCCAAAAAACAAGGGAGGCCTTAGAGCCTTAGGGGAAGAATAAGGAAGGAGGGCCGCAAGAAACAACTCCAATGTCGAGGTTGTACTGCAGGATGCTCTCCCATTTTCCTATGTTCATCCCAAAACCGAAAATCCTGAACCCTAAGCCCTAAACCCCAAACCCTAAACCCTAAACCCTCCTAAAACTTGGCAGCCCAGTGGTACCTTCTCTTTTTTGGTTCAAGGTTGCCTTATAAATACAAAGTAACCAACTCAAGAAAGGGTACCCTTAGTATAACATGGTTAT